TGGTGATGGTATTTAAGACAAAAGCAGAAGAGGAAGTCGGTGGCGTAGAATAAAGAGTGACAAAACACAGCCTTCACCCCTGCATCCTGTTTGGGTCCCCAAAAAGTGCGCCGGGCATTCAAGCACATTTTCGTATTGGCCAAACGGTGGATTTTCAACTCCCGTGTCAGTCATGTGATTTTATGAAGCCCAAAAATACCTTTTGCCTTTGACCTTCGTCTAAATCAACATTTTTAAAGTAAATTTGCTTTCCGGTATGCACACTTGAGTAGCTTTCATTTTAATCCTTAGGTCCACATTTTTTTTAAATGTGCTGAAAGTTGAATCCAGAGCTATTTTTCTTCCTGTCTTCACGTGACTGAGCCAAGACCAGACAAGTTATCTTTATATCTACGGTCTTGTGTCACTCCAACATTTAGCGTGACCCAATTTATATATGTTGTAGCATGTAAGTTTTCATTACTGTACTAATAATAATCCTTATATTTATTATAGTGCTTTATCAAAGACTCTCAAAGCGCTTTACAAATACACATTACACATACAGATCATACATGTAATGGTCATCTCCTGTGGAAAATACCCACAGGAGCAAATTCGGGTGAAGTGTCCAAGGACACAACGGCCTGACGCAGTGGGGCGGGAGCGGGTTTCGAACTGGAGTTCCCCAACGCCCCCTTGATCTGATGATCAAACGCACAGTCCACTGCGCCACCCGTCCCTAGTACTGTACCTAAATTTGGTAAAAAAAGGACCAGGGGTGTCAAACTCAATTTAATCACGGCCACATCAGCATTATGGCTGCACTCAAAGGACCAGTTGTAACTTATATATATATATATATATATATATATAAAATAATGTATTATATTACATTGTTGCCTCTGCATTGGATTATTATCAGATAGGGTAATAACTTCATAATTAACTACGTCTGAAAGCAGAAGTCTGGGGCAAATAATTGCAAGTCTCTTCAGTGAGAATGTCACAAAATGAGTTCAAAAGAAAAGCTGGAAAAAAAGTCAAAAACAGAAGTGACATTTAAAAAAAAGGAAGTGACAGTTAAAAAAAAATAACATTTTAAAAAACAAGTCAAATTCTGAGAAAAAAGTCTAATTTCAGATGCATTCTGGGACATGTAGTTTATGGGCAACGTGCTTCTGTAAATCATCATGTAACCGTATAATAAACATATTATATTCTTTGCAAGCTCTTGTGGGGCCACAGAAAATGAAGTCACGGGCCGGATTTGGCCCCCGGGCCTTGAGTTTGACACCCCTGCTTTAAACCAAACCATTATCTTTTCCTAAACCAAGTTGTTTTGTTGGCTCATCTCAATAAACAACACATGCCTTCTTATCTGACAGTTGGGAATGAAAACAGGAAGTGAACCTGTTCAACCCGGAGGCCCCCGCCTTCTTTTTCACGAAACTGTGTCTCAGGGCTTCTTAACATTTAAAAACCTATTAATGTGTCATACCCGATTAACGGGAAGAAACTCAGCTAACTGACGATACGAACTATTTTTACCGAAACAAAACACAAGTCTCACAAGAAGCGTCTAAATGAGCCCTGAGCGAAGAAATGCTAACACACTTAGCACAGAACTCAGAAGAATACCCTATTACATATCGGATCTGCACAAACAAGATATCGATTAGCAAGCTGAGATCCCACAGATTCTAGGGGTATAAGTATCATCACTGAGCGAAATGACAACAAATGTAATTAGATTTACGGGACCAAATCGGAAAATAAGTCTTACCTATGCTGTTGTTCTGATCTAAAGTCGTGTTCAATGACATTAAAACAATAAAAACGCAGCTGAAGGTTAATCCATAGGTTAATCCAATGTGTCTGTTACTTTGAAATGATTACTGATAATCCATCTTCATATTTATGTCAATAAGGGAGATTTCCTATTAGCTGCTACGATAGCTACCAGAGTGTATGACAGCTTCCGGTTCCAGGGCATTCTGGCTGCGCATCACTCATTCACCAATGGGTAATTTTTAGATGGATTTTAGGAACCTCCCCTCGATTCTATTGGCTCTAACGGTTAGAAAGAGGTGTCAATCACCAAAATCGACTGATGGGTTCCAGAGATATGAAAAATCCACCCAAATGACCCCAGAAGTGTTTTTTTTTTGCTAAATCTCTCTAAAAAGGTCAAAGGTCACTTGTTTTGCATCAATCTTGATACAGGGTACTTATTATATGTTATCGTTTAGATTCCTAAAGCTTTTAGTCTACCATCCCATCATTCAAGGGTGGTTTTCACTATAAGTCATGTTTTTGGACGGACACTATAATTTACAGTGTTTTACTATGTTCAATCTGAATTTACTTTAAAATAAAAACATCTACATTGATTCTGACTCTTCTACATCCAACTCACAGGTTTATCATTGCTTTGAGAATTTTTTTTATTAATTTACCCCTTTTAGAAGATATGGTCATTTGTTCTGGGGATGTCATTTTCGAGCCTATTCTTTAAAATGTGGTTTTAAAAAGTACTGTTTTGGTTTAAAGATCCATCCCAGCCTGCACTGCACACTTTATAAGGCAAACGCTTGCATTGACTCTAAATGCAGCAGCTTCTCCCCCCCCCCCAAATCAGATGGCCTTGTGTGTCACAACACTGGCTCTCCTCCAGTGTTTCTCTCTCCATACATCTGCTTTATGTGCAAGCTGCTCCTGACTTCTCTCTGCCAACAACAGAAGGAACCGGCGATGAGATGACCCGCCTTCAACACCAACTAACGTCTGTCCCCATCGAGAAACCAGAACGCACTGCAGTCCTTTAGAAAGCACGTCTGACTTTCCCCTCATACTGGAGTTGTTTACTCTGAATCCCATTTGAAATTCAGCCCGGAAAACGTTCCCTAAATCCCAACACAGCACCATTATGTCAGCTTTATGCAAGTCTACTTAAAGACTCTGCAGAACTTTTTAAAAGATGCCGTTTCATAACGAGTCACGGAGACTTCTCCTTTCAGCTCCTCAGATAAGAGGGAGAATCGATAGGTTTATGAATCATCTCTTTCTAATTAACCTCGGTGATCATTTTACTTGTTCACCCCTTATTAGATATAAACATCCAAGTTCTGTGTGTGCTTCAGACTTGTTAAGTCTTCCCTCGAGCCGCTGACATTGCCTAATGCAAAGCTGTAAGCCCGACGTGTGCAGAGAGAGTCACACGGGGCGAATGTACAGATTAGATTCAACCGGCAGGGAATTCCATGCAAGGACGAAGGTCCAGTAATTATAAGAGCTGCTCCCCTGGCATCAGTAATTGAGTTTACGCTGATGAAGTACGGAAGAAAGTAATCTCATCAGCAGAGATGCCGGAGAGACTGCTTTCCATTTTCTTAGTAGATATGCAGAGTGCACGTGGACAGAGTGGAGTTATTTAAAGTCGGGTTCATTTTCGCTTCGAGGTGCTAAGTGTGTCCTGATTGCTCCGTCCTGATGGCGCGCCTCAATCTGCAAATTACAACCACTTCTCCCATGAACACGATGTCTGCTATAGCTACAGTCAGGACTGGCTTAATAATAATAATACATTTTATTTCAAAGCGCTTTTCCAGGTGCTCAAAGACGCTTTTCAGGGGTTTGATAAAACATGATAAAATAGAATAAAGAATAGAAATAAAAAATAATAACAATTTGGCTTGAACCAAATACATTGATTTGGGATGTGTGTTTTTCTGTCTTCTTTCTTGTGTCATTTGCTTTTGTGCCGCAGGAATAAAGTGTTGCCTTAGAAACAGCCAAATCTGACCTGGTGGTTTGCAATATCTTTTTGGATGGATTTGAGATCAGCTAACTGCTGTTGCACTGATCGACAGGTGGTGGCGCTCACACACAAAGAGGCATAGCAGTGCCAACGAAGACAGTGAAGAAGACCTCTGCTCCTAAGCAAACACGGATGTAAAACCATCGTTTAATTTGGTTTGAAAACGTTGCAGGAGCAAGTGCTTAAACCTGGAAATGAGATTTGAACTAGAAGTCAATGGTTTTCTGAATGTGTGTTTGCCTGAAATCAGGTCTGAGGTTAACACAAGCTGGAGAGATGTTAACGTTGTGTTCTACGACGTAAAGCACGTCATAGTAAATACTTCAGGTTGTCACTGGTCTACATGAATAAGGGTGTGTACTATCTATCTAATGGATGAACGTAATCTAGGGTTACCCATTCATCTCCTATGGAGGTTGGAACGGGAACATCATGGTTTTACAAAGTTGACTAAACCAGTCAAAGTTGAATGAATCAGCAGTTTGATGTTCAAACGCTGACTGTGGAGGATATCATGAGGCCTTGAGGCAATCAAAAGCAAAGCACAGTATTTATGATGTCAGATTTGACGTGAACACGACAGGACGGTTAAATCAGGTTTTTTCTTTTAAATGTGAAATCTCCTGCTTCTAGTTTCCAGATGAGTCATTGAGTCCTCCTCCTCCTCCTCCTCCTCCTCCTCCTCCTCCTCCTCCTCCTCCTCCTCCTCCTCCTCCTCCTCCTCCTCCTCTCCTCTCCTCTTGTTTTGTTCCACGACATAAAATACGTCAGTACAGACCCTACTGTGGATTTAGAAATGGAGGTTGTTTCCAACATTAACATGGTTGTAGTCGGTTTGTAATATCTCATGGCTGACCATAGTTCAGGGTTCTCCATTAATTTCCTGTGGAGGTCATTTTAGAGCGGGAGCAGCAAAGTGGACTCAACCAGTCGCAGTGTAATGAAAGCGCTGATCAGCAGTTTGATGTTCAAATGCCGACTGTGGAGGATATCATGAGGCCTCGAAGCAATCAAATGCAAAACACAATGTTAATGATTGATGAAAATCAGTGAGATTTGACCCGAACACGACAGGACGGTTATGTTTCTTTAAAATGTGAAATCTCTCTTGCTTGTAGTTTCCAGATGTGCTTATGAATCATTGAGACCTCCTCCTCCTCCTCCTCATCCTCATCCTCTCCTCTTGTTTGTTTCCCTGCAGCCATTGAGACGCAGAGCACCAGTTCTGAGGAGCTCGTCCCCAGCCCCCCCTCACCACCGCCCCCCCCCAGAGTCTACAAGCCCTGCTTCGTCTGTGAGGACAAGTCCTCGGGATACCACTATGGAGTCAGCGCCTGTGAGGGCTGCAAGGTAGGATCCTCCGTCAGATCCTCGCTCTGAGACAATCAGGCAGAGGGCGTCAGGCATTATTAAACACTGTGTCGTGGAGGGAGATTAGAGGCAAGGCTTCTCCGCCATGTCCCGTACTAGGAGTGTTATGTGTATGAATGAGACCATTTATCAAACGGTAGAAAACAGATGTTTACCACAATGAAAGGAACGGCATCCAATAAGTGTGTCTGCAGTATGTGACCCAACCCTTTAAGGGAATTACTGCCGAAACGGGTTTATTGCCAAAGTTAGTTTAACAAACGAGTATTTGTTTGTGTATAAACGCGACACTTTATGATTCAGACTGCAAGGAAAAGCAGGTTTAGCACAAAGACAGATCCAGAAGGCGTCTCTACAGTATGTTGGGAAATTCCTCACTGTCAAGTCCTTCAGGGTTTTGGCCTGTATTCAGTGATTTAGCCCGAACCCGAGAGGCTGGAGGGCAACAGAGGACGCTTGGACAACTCGAATTGTATTTATTTTAAGACAACTCCAAGAATTCATCAGGTTGAAAACCTTCAAACACAAAGGACAAACAAATGTTAGCTCACATGCAAACACAAATTACAAACATTTTGCATGCCTCATTGCATTCTCAATAATAATAATAATAACACAAACTCAGTCACATTCCGGCCTTTTCAGGGTATTTTAATTAAAAGGATAAATTGTGAGTTATTTTAAAACCACATCATTAACTTAAATGAATTAATAAGAGAGTGTTTATCTCTACTTGGAAACAAGCACCAGAGAAACCCTCACCTGAACACCTGCGCTGTCTAAAGTATACAGCAAACGGAGCGCAGGCAGACCACGCTGCGTAAAAGGCCGTCGATTGCGCAACAGCACAACAGATCAAGTTCATAACACACAATAAACACCGGAGGAACATACCAACGGCGTCTCCGGAGCCACACACACACTGTCGCCAACTTCTCCCTCCGTGGCTTTGGGAACAAGAGACCGGCCAACTTTTTAGACTCAGAAACAGGTTTATTGCCAACTTACTCTGCATTAGGGTTACTGTGTACATGGAACAATCCTTTCGAACCGTAGCAAACGGACTTCAAGGGAAAGCACCCGTTTGCCTCAAAGAAAGATCCAGAATCCAGGAGAGATATAATAAGGCCTCTTAGAGCACATTTCTTACCATTGAAGGACATTCCTAGTTTTCCAGATGCAGAAAGGTGTTTATTGAATCAGAATACCTTTATCCGTCCCACAGAGGGGACATTTGCATTCGTTACCGCAGAAAAGAGCCACAGAGAGCTAGAGAGCTAACTTAGTTTCCCGTTAAGGTATGTTCGGTATAAAGCAGGGGTGTCCAAACTTTTTTCACCGAGGGCCACATACAGAAAAATATACGAAGGGCTGGGCCGCTCATAAAGGTGAGGTATATCGCCTCATCAGCTAAGTTATAAGTTAGCAACATGTAGGTAAATTAGGCTCGATACATGAATATGCTTTAAGAGAAAAACCGCCTACATCACAGATCTCTATCGGGTTTCATTTGTCTTGTTGGCAGCTCATCCCTTAAAAACAGAAGTCTGAGAGGGATTATAATAAGATGACAAAGGGTCTCTTTCAAGCTTGTTATGTAAATAAGTTATTAGGCTTTTTTGTATCAACTAAGATTTGTTAGAAAATGTTATCAACATGAATTGACTGAATTTATTTTAAAAGTGGGCTTTAATACTACTTTAAGAAGTACAATATAAGAGAAGCACAAGTTTAATTTGTGGGCCATATTTCATCATACTTTTTTAATTAGCTGAGGGCCGATTCAAAATGGCCAGCGGGCCGCATTTGGCCCCCGGGCCGTAGTTTGGACACCCCTGGTATAAAGGAATGATTCATCAAACTGAAAAGCACGTGTTTACCACAAAGACAGATGCAGAGGTGCACGGTGCATTAAGCGTCCTTGGGTTTCGTGAAAGGCGCTATATAAATTGAAATTATTATTATTATTATTATCCATGTGACCTTTTGAGGGAAACTCCTCACCATGTGAAGGAAATTAATTTATCTTTTTAGACTCAGAAACAAGTTTATTGCCAGCTTTGTTTTGCGTTATGGTCATTGCGTGTGTACACATGGAACAAACCTTTCGAACCGTAGTAAACGCACTGCAATGAAAAGCACCTGTTTGCCTCAAAGAAAGATCCAGAGATGCAAGAAGGCGTCTCTTTGTTGCCTTTTGAGGGTAATTTCTCGCCATGATTACATTTTCTAATAACTTTTTAGACTCAGAAACAGGTTTTATTGCCAACTTACTCTGCGTTAGGGTTACTGTGTGTGGAAGCGGAGGAATGTCAGGAATCCTTTGGAGGTTTTTGGCCCGGAGGGAGGTGGTGATCGGCTCTCTCTCTCTCTCCGGGTCAAACTGAGTTCTCCGCGGCTCACACGCCGCCATGTGCGAATATAAGCCTCGTCGTAAAAAAACAACGTGACCTCTGACCCCGATTCTCTGTTTAAAAGCGCTACAGGTGAGATACATTAAGAAGTTTGTATTACTCGGACACTTCCTCGCTCCATTACTGATGTTAAGACATTTATATTTTGTATTACAAGGTTTCTGAGATGTTTGATTCTAATATTATATTGAAAGAAATGTGGTATTTTTGGGTAGAAAAGTATAGTTTTGTGGAAAAGATTGGGATCATTTGAAAGAATTTGTTTTAATATTTCAGAATAAGAAGTAGAAATAATTCAAGAAAAGCAACGACGAGTGAGTAAAATATTTGGAGTCAAAAAGTTGTTTATTTTTGGGAAATGTTTCCAAATGCAAGTTGTGATATTTAGAGGAAAGAAGTTGACTCAAACTGAACATTTTAGAGACTAAAAACTTCTGGAAAATCTGAAATAAAGTGGATTAAATATAACAGAAATGTGAACATTGGATGAAGCTTGGTTCTAAATTCTTGTTATATTTTGTTGATGTATTAGAGTCAAAGGTTTTAACAGAGGATATATCTATTTGTATACCTCCATGCATTTGAAAAAACTGCCATAAAAAGTCCTTTTCTGCATGTGTTTTGTGCTAAAGTGGGAATTGACTGAGTAGGGGTGGGTATTAAACGAGCCCCGGTATAAAGACCGTGGTACCGTTAAGCTCCGACGTTATCGGTCTTTTTATCGGTAATGGAGACATCTAAAAAATATATTTGCCGCCCTGTCTGTCAGCCTTCCATCTCGTGTCCTCATTGGGCGTGCCGTCATTGGGCGTGCATTGCAGCAGTACTTCAATGACTCGCCAGCACCAGGCGGCCACTCTCACCAGTCTGCTGACTGAAGTGCGCGTTCATGTGTGTTGGAGGAGGTGCTCTGTAAGGAAGTCTGAAGGAAGGGGCGGATTCTTTTCGGCTGTGTACTTTCAAATGTTAGTGCACTCGAGCCGGTTTCTGAAACGTACCTACCCCACCTTTAATTACACCGTAAAATTATATCGAAAAAAATATGGTATTTTTGTGGAGAAAAGTATAATTTGGCAAAAAGAATCTGAACATTTGAAGGAAAATAAGTAGAAATAAGAAAAGCAACGACGAGTGAGTCAAATATCTGGAGTCAAAAAGTATAATTTTGGGAAATGACTCCAAAAAGTCTGCATGTCCGATACAAGTTGTTACACTTAGAGGAAAACAGTTGAATAAAGCTGAACATTTTAGCGAGTAAAAACTAACCGATATCAACTTCAGTATCACTAACACTCTTTATTTGTATATTAGAAGTCCTCTGAAATGTGATGTTTAAACGTGGAAATGAGGCGTTATGTAATGCAAACTGTTGGTGAGTTCCAGCGTAATCAGAAGCAAGTTGCCAACGTTTGCAAAATATTCCTCAAGCGTATTTTAGATGTTCCCCGGCTGAACGCAGACATCTTATGGAGAGAGATGGGTTTTTTACAAACAGCTCAGTTTAGGCACTGACAGATAAGTGAAGCCTCATCATCATCATCATCATCATTAGGTCACATGTGAGTGCAGGACCCTAATGGCAGTGAGATGTTCCCCAGAAGAAAAACACACAGTTCAGTTTCTCCGCCTCCCGATGAGAAAATAGTCCGGAACGGAAGAACGGCCTTCATTTCTCTGACATCCGACTCAAGAGGATTAAGAGGCGGATGCTTATTTATTTTGACCGTGTTGTATTTCTGTCTCCATGGCGAGCGCATTGTTGTTTCTTCCTTTGGGTGGAAGTGTGGTGTGTGTGTGTGTGTGTGTGTGTGTGTGTGTGTGTGTGTGTGTGTGTGTGTGTGTGTGTGTGTGTGTGTGTGTGTATGTGTGTGTGTGTGTGTGTGTGTGGGTGGGTGGGTGTGTGGTCTAGCATTACTATACTTGTGGGGACCTAAATCTGTTTACATAGTCACATGTGGGGACTGGCTTCCCTTATGGGGACAAATTGGAGGTCCCCATGAGGGGGATCATTCATTTTAGGGTAAAGACTTGGTTAGGGTTAGGCGTGTGTTGGTTAAGGTTAGGATAAGTCTCCAGGAAATGCATGTAAGTCAATGTAATGTCCCCTGAAGTGATGTATACATGGTATGTGTGTGTGTGTGTGTGTGTGTGTGTGTGTGTGTGTGTGTGTGTGTGTGTGTGTGTGTGTGTGTGTGTGTGTGTGTGGCAGTTTATCTGAAGCCCTTGTTTAAGAAACCTCAGGCACATTTTATTATTCAATCTAATATTTAATAATCCATTCCTCGCACAATTAATGTATATATAATATATAATGTCCGGCTTATATTTTTGTATATTTCTTACTTTTTTAATGCTATTTTATTTCTATTTGAGACGTTTACATTTTGGATTGTTTATTTCTAGTCTGTTCATTTCTCTAATGTTCAACGCAAACATGTTCCAAATTGGGATCAATAAGTACTTCTGATCTGATCTTCCCATGCAGCGATAAACTAACGGTCCCGCAGACTAACGTTTTTTTCTCAGCGCTCGCATCATGTCATTTATTTGTATTCAACACGAATG